CCTCCTTATTCACATATTCTACCCAGTTTTCTTGCAGGGAACAGACAAGGGTACCACTAGCTGTCAGACATGCAAATTCCGTGGCATCTCAGATAACAGCTAACTCTTTACCCCTTTATCAGATTCTTTCTCTTACCTCCTTTTTAGGTCCCTACTCAACTGTCCTACCAAACTACTGTTGTTAAGTGCCGTCAAGTTGGTTCCGACTCAGCAACCCTGTATGAGGTTTCCGAGGCTTTAAATCTTCTCGGGAGCAGAAAACCTCGTCTTTGTCCTGTGGCACAGAAACCTCGTCTTTGTCCTTGTGGGTTTCAGTCTAGTGCTTAGCATATGGAGCCACTGTGCCAGACTAGTAAATTATTTTTTCGCACCTTCCTGAGTTAGACTACAAAGCTTAAACTTTGTGTTTTTCTTTGATGCTACTTTAGGAATATGTTAAGTAGAATGCAGTTATCAAATTACTTCAGATGACCTCAGATGAAAAACTTGAGTATCATGGGGAACTCATTGCCCAAGTGTCTCATTCTGTCATACATAGGGTCGCTTTTAATGGCATCCAACCACAACAGAGCCCAAATATAATACACCCATCCAGTTAAGAGTTATGATCCTAATGGAAAGGTGAAGCACTCCAATTACACATACTTTCATTTCAGTCAGAAATGAAAAACTAGACATGGGGGAGACATTACAAACTACAAATAGCAAACATAAGAAATGCTTTTACTCTAATCTGCTAATTTTTATCTTAAGTCTTATAGTTATAAAATATTTATTATGACGTACTTCCCTTCACAAGATTCCACTAAGGTGTAGATTAAAGCAGGCTGCTTCTTAAGCCAGTGATTCAGAGCACAGCATTTTTTGTAATATCTCAGATGTTACCACTTTCCCTCTAAATGTTCATGTCCCAGTAGAATGTAGGCTGCTTCTAGCTTAAAGAAATTTAGGGCAACTTTTCACTTTTAGAACAAGTTATATCTATAGTTAGGAACAATGATTGGAAAAGCAAAAATCAATAAACACAATAAAAGGTTGAAATTGTTCACTGAATTTTTCAAACAGAAGAACTGAGCACTTCATATATGGTGCAAAACCTATTGAAAAAAAACCAAAAACCTCAGTCTACTTTAAACAGGACCTACAGATGTGGCGCTGTGGGTTAATGCGCTGGACTGCAAAGTTGCTTTGAACCTTGAGGTCGGTGGTTCAAGCTCACCAGTCACTCCTCAGAAGCCCTATCCAGGGTTGGAACCAACTCAATGGCATTTAGCAACTTAACACAGATGAAAGACCATTTAAAGTGCAAGGTCAGCGGTTCAGGTGCACCAGCTGCTCCTTGGAAACCCTATACAGGGTCGCTATGGGTCAGAACCAACTCGACGGCACTTAACAACAACAACAAAGACATAGAATACAGTCACAACTTTAATATAATACTTAATTCATAATATTCATATTATGAATTCAGAAGGAATGCCTAAGTTGTTATTGCTGCTTTGTGTCCACACAAGTGTTTCTCCTACTTGAGCATGCAGTAATGGCTTTTACTTCATCCTCTATAATGCCATTAGCTCTGGGTGTGCTATCATGAGGCTACCGAGGAATCGCTCACATTGGGAACCTCCCAGCATCTCCCAATACTGGATTTAAGCTAGCATGCCAAGTTCACAGGTGATGAGGACAAGAAGTCTAAGGAAAATTCCCTTTTATAATAGAAACTTCATACTAAGAAAGACAATTATTTTAAAAGCCCCGTGTGTGCCTAGAATAGAATAAATCTTAAAACATAGCTCAGCTCCCCTAATGCACGTACCTGAACATCAACTGACAAACTTTACACAGCTTTAGCCTGTGGTAAAGCAATTGCTTTAGAGTGATCTGTTGGGTAATTGAGTTCTGTCTGGAAGCACAAGTACAATTCATTTCAGTGTAAAGTGTAGGTTATTTACCAAATTAATGAATTTATATGCTTATATCAAATGTGTCATCAAAAGCAGCATGAAGTGATGATGTTATAAGACTTACATGAGTCAACAGAATTGTGAAAAGACACCACATCTAACTAGGTCAAACACCTACTTACCAAGAACTGATATCTAGAAGTATCTGGGTGCCCACACCGAGAGCAGTTTCAAAAGCAGCCCTTATTTTCTGCAGAAGTGTGACAGTAAGTCAGTCATCACACTTCAGGGGAGTGACGGCCTGGACACACGACGTATTTCACATTAGTGAAAAGACATTAAGATTTGTATAAAGTTCTGACTGCTGGCCAGAAGACAAAATATGTTCCACGTATACTTAAGTACACTCCAATTCCAAACCTCTTACATTCTCTAGTTCCAAAGATGGCTTTCTGACTTGTCTTACACAGGAATAAGGTGTGCAATGCACTTGTATTTGAGCTTCTGAATTAAGGAGCAATATACATTAAATGGGGGAAAAAAAAAAAAGAGGATACTATTAAAATCTACTTAGATTGTGTACATAAAAAGGATCTTTGGGCATTCATGAGACCCAGTTTAACTGTGTCTCAGGAGCAACTTACTTTTCAAAGTTATAAGGAAATGTATTTAACTATTTACAAAAGTAAAATTTCTAACATGCACTTTACAAAATCATGGTCTTATTTATCAGCATCTTTTCCCACAACACAGGTATACATTAAAAAATATTGCTCAAGAACATAAAAATATATATTATCTCTTTCCTTTACCATTTATGCACATAAATATTTCACTGAAGAAGATGCATCATTCAATAAACAAATGCAAAAACTGCTTTATATAAAGTGTGGTTCTGATACTGCAATATAAAATATAAAATGATTACAATATAATTAGCTATTAAAGAGCTAAATTCAAGAGATTTGCAAACCAGTACAGCAGTAAACAGTCTCTTGTACAAAAGTCCATTAAGGAAAAGTCAAGTCAACTTTGTAACAGGTTACATAAAACTAAGGGTCAATAAATGCATTGTTAATGCACAACGAGAGCGCTGCTTCATTGGCACGTTCTTCAGTCTTGTTTGGACTAGATGTCAAACTTACTGTTCACTTTTTGGTTCATCTTGTTTTCCATTAAGTGCTTGATCAACTCTGTTAAAAATGATATAAATAATGAGAGACGTGCAATCTTCTTTCTAAAAATAATGATTACTTCGAGCACAGAATACTATTCTGTTAAAACAAAGCTTTGCAAACAAGCAAACATAGTAAAATGGTTACCAAACATTACTTCCCCAACCAGGAGAGAGAAATTTTAAAGGCAAGAGAACAATGGCAAGAAATGTAACTCTTTTAACATTAAAAATTGTAAAGTATTTTATATACAACTGCACATATATTTTCTTAAATTCAAAATACAATTTATATACTGAAATACTGAACTGCTGGGGTAAAGATCCAAGTGGTAAGAGATTGGCGGGAGAAACAACTCCTTCAGAAATAAATTTTTTTAACAAAAATAATACAGTGCCACCACTTGATCAATTAATATTTTTTAATTGAGAGATTAAAAAATATGTATTTACAGAAACCATAACTAATCTCCAGAATCTATGTGTAAACTACAAATGTAAATGCCTTTCACTTGTTTTGATAGTAAAGAGCCAAAGAATGTACAATTAATAAATATATAGATGATTAAAAATCTGACTGGAATTAGTGGGAGATTACAAAGAGGTCACATCAAAATTTGAGCAAGTGGGGATTAGAAGATTACATAATTACTGCACAATCACAGACAACCCTTCAAAGACAATATATAACAATCTATCAGTATCCTTAAGGAGACCTGGTGCCATAATGGATTATGAATCAGGCTACTAACAGCAAGGTCAGCAGTTCAGATCTACCAGCTGTTCTTCAAGAGAAAAATGAGGCTTTCTGCTCCTGTAAAGACTTATACCCTTGGAATTCCGATACTGGGTTGCTAAGAGTCAGAACTGACTCCCCCCAACCACCACCAACACTATCACACTCATAGTACTTTGAAGTGCTGATGGGGTGTATAAAATCATCTGGTACGACAAAGGAAGATACATGTCACACTGTTTTCCATTACTGTGATCATCATGCACCAGAACATTACTGATTCAGACCTAAAAGCCTCCACCAGTGGTAAAGTCAAAGTAGAAACATTTAAAAATATTTTCATAACGATGTCAAAAATTTGAAAAGTACACACTCTTAATATGGTATACAATAGACTCTGAAATATCCTTATGAACTAATTACTTTGCTTTTTAATTTAGTTGAAACAGTTTTAGATTTGATATATGCCTGGTCCCACTTGGAATGAGTTGGCTGATAGAAACATCTCAAACATTTACAACTAGTATGCTATAAACCCTCCTAGTTTTGTACCCTCTCCTATCACAATGAGAAGATTTCACCATAAATAAGCTTTCCCACCCCTAGCTTTGACTTCTGGTGTGGTGCTGTAGAATAAGCTCAGGGCCATAATGTCAGTTTGAACCAGAGTCGGCAGTTCAAACTCACCAGCCGCTCCTCAGAAACCCTAAGCAGGGTGGCTATGAGTTGGAACTGACTGGATGGCACTTAACAACAACAACTAGCTTATATTAAGTTGGACAAGAATAAATACACACACAAAAAAGAATAAATACACACACACAAATTTAGATAAAATAGTAGTGGTAGGTTTCAAACAACATATATGTCAACAGTACAATAAGTTCCATTTAAAAATTTTTGATCTAAAAGTACTTTGTAACAGATAGTTAAGTACTAAGGCTTAAAAAAAATTTTTTTTTAAAGCACAGCTAGGACACTTCACTTGGAAGCTTCCTGAAGCAGCCAGCTTCAAAATATTCTACAATAGATTTTATTTTAAATTCCAGCCAGTTGTCTAGCAAAAGCACATCAATGTCTATGGAGGAACAAGACACCAGCAAATCACTAAAATCACTTTTAGTCCCTCTGTTAGAAGTGTTGGCTAAACTGTAAAATGTTATGTAGAAATTTGATGCTGTCACTCTATCATGTGGTTAACTGAGCCAAAATCTTTTCAAAGTTCAGAAAGTCTTAGTTACAGCTAGTTACACTTGGTTCCTTAGAATGGCCCAAATGACACAAACCATATATAAATCTTAAGAGTTTATCCAATGATAATGCTTTGCTAACTTAACTTGTATTTTAAAATCTATTAGCAAATTAGATCCAAATACTATATTTCAATAAATTACTACATACAATGGCAATAATTTTATACCCTTGCTTTTCTTCTTCTATGACAAGATATTAAAAGATAATAGTTTGTTATGCTCAAAGCAGAATGTCCAGAAATAAACTTAAAATGGAAAGCAGTGTTTAACTGTTAAATGGCACACTGAACTTTTAGGTATTTTATCACATTTGGCTGGTTAGCAGGCCATTTAATTTAAGCATTTAAGGAAATCAATGTTGGTTAGCCAAAGAATATATGCATTGCAAATATAATCATCAACCCCAGGGAAATAAATTATGAGCCATTAAAAAATTCATATGAATATTTTAAAAGCACAAGTTATAGAATTTTCTTTTAATTGGAGAAAACATATACATTCTTAAAAAGTAATAGATGTTTCAAACAGTATTCTTAGTTAATTTCTCTGGTTTCATCTTCAGTATTAATACCAATCAGAAGGGGGAAGAGATTGTTGCCTTTATTGTCTAATTAGCATTATGTTGCTAAGAGCAACCAAATTAGTTCCGACTCACAGCAACAACTGTATAGCGTGTTTCCAAGGAGTGGCTGGTGGGTATGAACCACTGACCTTGTGATTAGCAGCCCAGTGCTTATCCTACAGTACCACACCAGGACTCTTAATTCGTATACATGTGTTCATGCAGGGCGAATCCAAGTCATATGTAGCATAAGAAACTTTGGATTCACCCTGTATCTGGATGCTGGGGTATATTTATATTTACATATGCTACCATCTTTGTCTACAAGCTAACCAACCAGTAGGGAAGAGTTAGTCTGTGCAATGCAAATAGACTAGTCTAGATGCAACCCATTCAAGGTGTGCATATACCTTTTTCGTTTCTTTTTTAACTTTTCTTCTTCATACCTTGGTAGGGAAGAGTTATTTCAGTAAATATACATGTTACGTAGATGAATAAAAACTCAAAAAAAAAAAAAAGGAAAAAAAAAGGCACTAACAAAAACCCCACAAAAACCCCATAAAAATTTATAAGAAAAACAAAAAATTTAATGCACACTATGTATAAAGTGAAAGTGGACTAGGTAAATCTAGTTTTGACACGTTAAGCAGACTACAACCTCAGTTTAACGGAACAAATGAATTTTTCTATGACATTGTGATGCTTAAGTATTTACATTCTACCAAGTACTTTCAAACGAAAGATGGAAGTGAATTTTAGAAACAGAACTACTTCCCAGCCAGTGGAAAGTATCAAGACTGGGCTGCTATAAACACTATTTTATTACTTTAGCAACATAGTTCTTTGATGACATCATGAGACTATTCATGTTCAAGTTTGGAGAATGCGCCTCAGTACTGACGGATGGAGAAATCATCTCTTACATTATGGACAGTCCTTAAGAAATATCAAACAAATGACAACCAGAAATCATTTCTTCTAGTTCTATGACTGAAACTTTGACTTACAGGAAGCAGTCTCTAGGTTTAGGAAGGTGTTGGGAAAACAGTTTCTTCCTCATTTCTCTTCAGTATAAAAAAAGAACAGTTACAAAATATTTGTAATTGATGAAGTGAGAAAGAAAATAGGTATTGAGAAGTATTTACCTCTTTTATATCAAAATACAAAGATCCAAGACAATTAAATAAATAAAACTAAACATACTGTTTTATGCATTCTGGGATGCCAACATATTCCATGGGGACAAGTTCCGCTAGTTCTGCCAAATTAAAGACGTATCTAATTTTTTGGCTGAATTTTGAGCTATGGAGGAAAATAAAAATAATTACAACAGTATTTCTGATCAACAGAATAGACAAGAAATTTATACAAGGAGATTTGTTTTGTTTTCCAGAAGATTACCTAATAAATGGTCTTGTAACAGCCAGAAGTGTTCTGATAAACCAAGAGGGATGTACAATAATTAGAGATTTTAGGTTTTTCCGTAACCTGGATTTAAAAAAAAGAAAAAAAAAAATCTCTACATATCTAATGCTAGAAGAAAAATAAATAATCAGAAGTGTGCAAGTTTATATAACATATTTAAAAAGCTTATCCAACAGTTCTTAATTAGGTGTAGTATTCCTGAAGAAATTATTACAGACCCTCCTGTTACTATGAAATTAACCGTACTTCATTTGGCCAGATATGTATCCATGGTAGAGCCTCCTATGAAATGTCTCCCATCACTGGTGTTCACAACTCTGTCAACCAGAGGCAGAGGCCAATATCCAATATAGAACAAACTGGTTTCATTTTCCAGGTTGGAAGGAAATTGGTACTAATTCCTTCAACACTATAAAAGACACTGTGTAGATTATAGGAACAGACAATATGTATCAGACCTAACTCCTAATCTTAAAGAGTTCACACTGCATTAAATAGTCTGATTACTTAAAATAGAGATATACGTTGAAATACTCAGAGATGAAATGGCATAATGTCTGAAATTTGTTTCAAAATAATATGGGGAGGGGGAAATATTAAAAGTATTGTCCTACGCCTATTTAAAATGGTCAAAAAAAAATTATTACAATAATTCTAAAAGTAGGCATAAAAGTTCCTTTTTTTAAAATCAAAAGAACTGCCCATGTCCTGCTAACAAATACAGACCTATTACTGAGTCTGAGCGCATTAAAGTTCAAATTAGCTAAGGCCAAGTCAAAGCTAAGTCTCTTTCATTGTCATACATTTTTAGAGCTTGTTCTAAAAAAAAAAAAAAAAGACTACAGTTAAAACAAGCACCTCTGAAACAACAGAAACATGCTAAGAATTATAAATGAGACAAGCACTCAGAGAATGTACTAAAATAGGGAATACAGTAAGTTCTCCAACCTTTTCTAAGATGTAAACTGTAGGAAAAGTGTTCAATGTTGTATAAGAAAGGAGAAATAAAAACCTGTTATGAAATGAATAAATGTAATTTAGGAAGTGAGTACAAGGCTACAAATGGTAACACAAAATAAAAACTAATCTACTAAAGCCAATGTAAAAATTATTCAAATTAGCTTCCAACCATATTCACATTACCTTCTGTCAATCTGCTGGTAGCATTTCCTGAGCCACCCTAAACTGGGCATTTTTCTTCGAGTTGTTGCACCATTTAAGTAAACTATCATGTAGTTTTCTGCTACTAACAGCTCCAAAGTGCCAATAACATATCTGTAAAAACAAACTGAGATTAACTGAAATCCACAAAACCCACTGTTGTCAAGCTGATTCCAATCTACAGCAATGCTACAAGGCCAAGTAGAACTGTCCAGTAGGCTTCCCAAGACTGTGATCTTTCTGGAAGCAGACTGCTTCAACTTTCAAACCCACTGACCTTTCACAGTTAGCAGTTCAGTGCTTAACCACTACACCACCAGTCGCCCCAGATATTGCTGTGCAGAACTGAACTCAGTTCTTCAAATTACATAATTCTCTCTTCTTCTCAATGGAAGCAAAAACTATTAAGTGTTTAAACCTGATTATGGTCCCTTATAATTTTTTTTTTTTTTTAGCATTTTAGAGATATGTATTGAAATGTTTATAGATGAACTGATTTGATATCTGAAGTTTGCTGCTAAATAATACAGTGGAGGCAGGAGGGAAAAGTGAGAATAAAGTATAAACTGATCATTATGGAAGCTGAGTGACTGATGCACAAAGGGTTAACATACTTCTCCCTCTCTACCTTTGCGTATTTGTAATTTCCTACAATAAAGTTTTTAAAAACTGCACTATTCTGAGAAACAGAGTGACCCTCTGGAAACAGAATTGAACTATGTTAGCTCAGTTCTATTTGGCTTCTAGGGCTAACTGTAACTTAGCTATGATGTTGGAATCAAAGTCACTTTTACAGACCTGAATGTGTCCCTTCGTTTTAGAATTTGACAATTTTTCTATACAGTAAAAAACACCCAAAATGGCAGTTTCATAATGCCAAGAAGTAAAGATTTGCAGAATCACAACTGGACATTTATCATTTTTATACTGTTAAAGCTAACTTCTTCAAATTAAAGATCTATAATAATTCTAAATTAGCTTAGCATTCTGTTCAAAATTTTTGTGAAGACGTACTTACTTAAAAAGATTGTCCATCAGATATCTATAGTTAGGTTGGCTACTTTCAGGCATAAAACAGACAGCAAATACAACAATTGCATTTAATCCATCCCCATAATATCCTGAGGGAGAGGAGAGAAAAAACATAAATAAATTACTACTGTTATTTTACTCAGAAGATTTTCCCAAGAATTTTATATGATTGATTTTTTATAGTAGTTCATCTTCCACAAACTTCAGGACCCAAAAAAAATGGGTTTCTTAATTTTACGTAGTCTTATAAACACAAAACCTGAAAGCAAACTAACTCACTGCCATCAAGTCATTTCAGACTCAGAGCAACGCTCAAGTACAGAGCACAGAGCAGAACTGCCCCATAGGGTTTCCAACCACAGTCTCAGGTGGCAGCCTAGGTCTTTGATCCTGGTACCACCAGGGTTCCCCGTGTAGTCTTATACAGCTTTTTAAATCCCCTAGAGCCAAAAGAACACAAAATCTGAAGCGGAAACATGAGCACAAAAACTAAAACACAATGATAAAGCCAGCCTTATTTTAGCAAATTGTTAAGTCCCGTTGAGTCGGTTCTGCCTCACAGTGGCTCTGTATGGGCTTTCCAAGAAACAATTAGTGTATTTGAACTGCCAACTTTGCAATTAGTGGTCCAGTGTTTATCCTAGAGCACCACACCAGGATCCCATTTCAGATACAATCATCTGAATTTTTATTATATATTCTTATGCAATTTATGATTAAAGTAGACGCTTCTCCAAAGACAGTTTTCTATTCAACAATGCTGAGCATTTTGCAGATTTTAGGCTATTAAAACTAAGAGATTACCTTATGCTGACATAATTCTAAATGAAGAAAAACAGTGCTAAAATGTGTGCTTTCATTATAATCTCTAGATATTAAACTGTATCAATAACAAGTATTTTTGCTTTAACCTTCATTTCTATTGTAAAATTTTAGTATCTCAAGTACATTACAATCTTCACTACCTTAATCTCTAAAGTCACAAAATGTACTAAATGTGGTAATCCAATAGAATAAAATGGCCCTGTTTCCCCCTGAAAGAAATAAAATGCTGTTTTTGAAAGATACAAGATTTAAACACCAAAAGGCAGGTCCTTCCAGCTTGTTTCCTAGGAGTTGAATTAATGTGTAGCTGTGGGCTTCTTGATTGAGTTTATCCTGTTTTCTTCATCTGAATACAATTTAATTAGGCAGAAGACTGTGACCGCAAATATTCAAGTGGTTTCCTTTCAGATGAATGAAGACTGCACAAATAAGCAGGGGAATGAATTCAGCACAGAGTAAATTAAGTGGAAATGACTATATGAAAAAAAATCAATTCTGCTGAACCTGTGTGCCCTCTGTCCTGTGATGGTGGTGGTGGTGTGCCACGGAGTCAGTGCCAACTCTGTATAGGTTTCCAAGGCTGTAAACCTTTATAGGAGTAGAAAGCCTCATCTTCCTTCTGTGGAACGGCTGGTAGTTTCGAACTGCTGACTTCTGAGTTTAGCAGCCTGACTCATAACCACTACGCTACCAGAGCTCCTTAGGAGGAATAAAAGACACACCGAGGACTGTCTTATTTTCTTTAAATAACTTAAACACACAAAAATATGTTGTTATGTAGTGTCAGTTCTGACTCATAGCCACCCTATAAAGGGTTTTCCAAGGAGCAACTGATGGGTTTAAACAACCTATCACCATCCAATGCTCATCTTCTAGCATCACACCGTATACATAATATATAAAATGTTAAGTGCCATTTAGTCGGTTGCAACTCATAGTGAGCAAGAAGCAGCTGGTGGATTTGAACCACTGACCTTGTGGTTAGCAATCCAGTGTTTATCTTATAGTGTCACACTAGATCTAAAAATGTTACATAATGTTATAATGTTTTTTATTGTTAAGTGCCTTCAAGTCAGTTCCAACTCATAGTGACCTGTATAGGGTTTCCAAGGAGTGGCTAATGGGTTTGAATTGTTGACCATTTAGTTGGCAGTCCAGTGCTTCTCCTACAGAGTCAGACCAGGATGCCCATTTCATGGTGTACAGATTACATACCTCAACAAAAGGGGAAAAGTAAAGTTCCAGTCTTGGGCAGCTAAAGGTAGAGAGTCAGAGGGTGGCAGTTTTGACTGCATACCTTTGTGTACTTTTTTTTTTTTTAAGGTTTTTATTGTGGATTGAATGCAGGTTTACAGGGCAGATCATCAGTTTTACATTCAACAAATCATACACCTTGTGATTATAATCCCCTCCATGTACCATCAGCTAACACTATTTTTTCTCTATATCCACTTTAGCTTTAAAAACAAAACAAAACACTCAGGCTTATGTAATAATTTATATCTCCAAAGGGCACATTCTGCAAGTCAGCCTCCTGGCCATCAGCTTAGTCCCTCTCTTCCCATGAATCTAGAGTCCTCAGCTGCTCCCCCTCTCCATGACCTCATCTCTGCCTCTGGATAATGTCCTGGATTCTGCTTGTACGCTTCTCCCTTGATGGTCGTAGGGTCCTGTTTCTGGACTGTAAGATTAACCACTCCCATTTTTGTTACATACCTTCTACCTTTACAATTCTGACAGTCGCAATTAGTTATGATAACAATTATTCACTACTGAATCATAAGAATCCCCATCTCTTTTCATCAGACCTATCTAGACAAGATGAAATCTATTCAGTGGGGACTCTTTCTTTCCCCTCCATACTCTTAAAGTCCCTCTTGAAACCTTGTAAGCCCATCACTTCGTGCCTTTATCGCCCCCTCATTTTAGGTTGTTGTTATTGTTAAGTGCCGTTGAGTCGGTTCCGACCCATAACGACCCTGTACAGGGTTTCCAAGGCTGTAAATCTCCCACGGAACAGCTGGTAGTTTTGAACTACTGACCTTAAGGTTCGCAGCCCAACTCGTAGCCACTACGCTATCAGAGCTCCTTATTTTAGGTAGCCAGTAATTAAGTTGCCCGTCCCTATTTACCCTATGTACAGCGGGGATAGCATTGACACTTGATGTGAAGACTCCTTCCCTCTGTTGGTACTTAGAGTAACTACCTGAGTATAGGTCAGGTTCATCAAATTGTAGCAATTTACCCTTGTTTCCTTTATCAAAAAAAAAAAATTTTTTTTTTTTTTGGTAATCTTCCTCTAGTAGAATTCTGATTATTGAACCATTGAGGCAAGATCAAATGGGTACTTGTCTGCAAGTTTGGGTGTTCTTGTGCATCTCCCCTCACTTCATATCAGCTGGATGCTTCTTCACTCTCAGCTCTAGTCCTCTGTGGCTATGTCCTTGGCCATGGGCTCAAGTGTCCTCAGGTCTCACCACACTTTGGAGCAACCAGCCCTTCCTCTTCTCTCTCTCTCATCTCCAGGTCACCGGGAGTCAATGGACTGTGGTTGAACTCATTGCTGCCTTTCCCCCTCTTCCACTCACCAGTAGACCATTGTGGTCGCCAGCAAGCTTACATGCTTGTTTATGTGTTCCCTTTGAATTTTAGTCTTAGAGGGAAGTTTGTCCTGAAGGAACTTGATTGCTTGCCTTAATGTCTTCCTGGTGAACAGCCTGCTTTATTCTTGTAGTTGCCAGTCATGCTGACATTTTTGTTTTGGGTTTTCCCTGATGATCTTTCTTTGAAGATCTATCTTCTGTCACTGTAGCTGTTTCAGGTTGGTCTGCTTGTCCTTTCTAGTGGGAATGTCCCACCTTATAAGGTTCTGGATGGGCCTTTGTGTACCTTTTGAATTTACTATGTGCCTGTATGAACCATTTAAAAATGTTAGTTTTATCCCTTTACTTCAAATCTGTTATGTACCTAAAATGATAGAAAAACTATTTATAAATATCTGTAAGCATTTTATTTCTGATATTACATAAAAAACTGCCAGCATTATCTTTGGTAAACTCTTACCGCCATGACTGATGACTTTTTTATAGGGCTCAATTGCTCTCATGTCAACCCTGTGGTCCTGCTCTCCAATCCGGAACAAACGCCAGCGCCGCCCATCTTCTTTTTCCTCTGTAGCTGTGCATTCGGTAATTGAATCTTTCCTAATTACTTCAGTAGTTTTAGGTTTTGGAAGATCATCTGTCAAATAAAAAATGTTTAAGTTATAAACTGCTATTTTCATAGTTAAATGCAAATTATAGGTTAACCACTTTACTATCTAATTTGATTATCCAGAACATATTTCATTATACCACTGGCAGAATTTTAAGAATCCATTTCATAATAAGAAGAAAGGCTTGCTCTTAATATGAGGCCATGAAATGTCTTTTGGAAATCAGTTATTCAATCTTTCTTAATGCCTAACTCAGCAAAGCACCTTATCACGTATTTATCCAAAGTTCTAATAGTAACAGCCATCAAAGACTTAGTATATTGGCCCTGCAATGCCTTTCTAGATTCTACTTATGAAAACAATGTCTTTGACAGTTACTACTGTGTACTACTTAAAGTAACGATCTGAAAATTGTTTTTGTTGAGCATATAAATTATTCTCCAAACAATATAATTATCAGATAGAAAGTGGTTAACTAGCACCAATCACTTCTCATTTGATCATTTTTATACAGCAATTTATTTTTAACATTCTGAAGTGTACATGCAAAAAACAAAAGTGTATTTAGATCAACATTAGCCAAAACGTTAAGCACCAATAATTAGGTGTAATTTATGTTTCAAAATCGCATTTTATCTAATTTTTAATGAAGTTAATGATTTTCAGAATTTTAGTATCATAGTCCTTACCAAAAGATGGGGGGAGGGGAACCTACTGCATGTTAGTTGTTTTGTTTCCAAGACAAAGCTGTTAACGGAAAATATCCTTCCAGGAAATGACTACAGTAGCATTAAAGAAAGAAGAGACAAAACACAGGCAGAAAACTACTTCAGTATCTTTATAAAATATTGCTTATTATCGGAATGCTTAGTGAACCAGCAAAACAGTGAGGAAAAAGGTGCAAAAAATATATTAAGAATCTTACTTTTTTTTCAACTGCAGATAACTAATGCTAAAAGCTGCTTTAAAGTAAAAATCATTTTAAAGATGGAATATATATAAATTACTTATGACAATGTATAAAGATACTGCTGACAGTAATTATCTAATTAAAGCAAGCATGCAAAGCAACACACATGCCCGTTTCTTTGAATTCCAAATAACGAATGATAAGGAATTCTGGTTTTGGAGCTAGAAGTCAGTCTTTTCATAAAGTACAGTACTCTTAGGCAAACCTATTTAAAAAAACAACACAAAAAAACTCTTCCCCCTAACTCCCTTCTTTAGCCCCCCACCCCTTAAAAAAACCTCTTACCTACTTAGAGTATATTTGGTTTAATACAAGTCTCTATAGGTATTTTTCCACTAACTTTCCTTTTTTCTTTAGATGATCAACTGATTAAAAGTGCACACTTGCAATTACCAAGCAATATTTTGGGAGCAATTCTGAACAAACTTCATAGCACTGGGGCAACTAAGGAAAAAAATATATGTAACTAACTTGCATAATCTATAAACAGTTTTGAAAATATTTGGTTTTAGCAAAATTTCTTATCTTAGTAACAAATGTATAAGTTTAAGAACCATTTATTATTTCATACAAAATTAATATGATTATTTTAGTTGGCCTCATCAAATTTTAAGTTTTTTCCGATTTTTCTAATATGAGACTATCATTGTGAAAGCATGTTATATATTTAAGAACAAACACTCATTAATAAAACCCCGATTAAAACAGTGAAACTCTTACCTTCCCATTCAAACTCATTGCTGTTCTCTGACGGTGTATCTAAGCCATCTAAGTCAATCTCCCCACTCTCATCCAAATCATCGGACAACACAGAGCCATTACTAGGATCCAGTGTCAGGCTAATGTCTGGGGCTATCAGTTTCTTTCTTACTTTATTTCCATTAACTTCTAATGAGTCTGGAATGGAAAACAAAGTAAAGGATATATTAGAAGGAATGCTTAGATGCTCAAATTGAGTAAGAGAAGAAAATTTAACCACTTCATTCTTGAGAAAAGTAACATTAAACACAATTCTCGTACAATGGTTAATTTATAAACTTTGAATCTTGATTACTAATGCTTGACATCATGGCAGGAGAACAAGATATCTTAGTAAAGGTATGACTTACCATATAGTTACCTCTCACTAAATATTATTAATGGTGGTGGTGTTTATGTGCTGTGGAGTCGGTTCCGACTCATAGCGACCCTGTACAGGGTTTCTGAGGCTGTAAATCTTTACGGGAGCAGAAAGCCTCATCTTTCTCCCGCGGAACAGCTGGTAGTTTTGAACTGCTGACCTTGAGGTTCACAGCCTGATTCGTAACCACTACGCTACCAGAGCTCCTTACTATTGTTATGTGCCATGGAGTCGCTTCTGACTCATAGTGACCCTGCACAAGGTTTCTGAGGCTGTAAATCTTCAGAAAGGAGCAGAAATATGAGGAGCAGAAAGCCTCATATTTCTCCTGCAGAACAGCTGGTAGTTTCGAACTGCCAACCTTGGGGTTAGCAGCCCGATTCGTAACCACTATGCTACCAGAGCTCCTTACTACCACCCCTTTCTTTTACTGTAATAGTTCATAAAACCAATAGTTCATACGTTTTTTCAGAAATTCAATTTCAAAAAATATCTAAGCATTCCAAAATTCTTGCCATGACAATTTATTCTCGGACTCCCTGTGACGTAATAAAAACCAATTATTTTTCCCTTGGAAAAGAAATGTATTCAAAAACAGCACAGTTAAAGTTTATCATTTCATTGAAATGTAAAATGTCAGGTTCTTACCAGGTTGGCTCTCTGGTCCAGTTACAGCTAGTATATCTGCTTCAATACTATCATCTTCCGGTAAAGGTCTAAAAGATACACACACATATGTATACTATTAAAGCAGTGTTAAAGTTAGTAATTTATGAACTACTTAAAACTTCTCAGACCAAAGTTGATATAAGCTTCTTATGTAAGATTTATGTAAGTATAAAATAAATGTTAAAATTTTAACAACCTACCACACCAATATAATTCAAATACATGAATGTTAATGCCATGAAGCTGGGAGTTTGGTGGCTCCATATGATAAACACTGGACTGAGAACCACAAGGTTAGTGGTTTGAGCCCACCAGCTGCTCCGCAGAAGAAAGATGAGACTGTCTGCTCCTGCAAAGACTTAAAGCCTTGGAAATCCTATACAGGGCTGCTATGAGTCAGAATTGACACCGCACTTAACAACAACAACGATGGAGCTAGGAGCCCTGGTAGCAACATGAGTTACAAGTTGGGGTGGCTGCTAACCATAAGGCCAGCAGTTCAAATTTATCAGTCACTTCGTTGAAGAAAGATGGGACTTTCTGCTCCCATAAAGATTTACAGCCTCAGAAACACTACACAGGGTTGCTTGAGTTGGAACCGACTCAACAGCACACCACCAACAAGATGAAGCTAAACTGCCACTCACAATGATGGCTACAATGCTTTTGAGTTGAGCATTCCTATGTTGCTGTGTTCATCCTGTGCTATGCAATGATTTAGTTTTCCTATCAGCTGTCCGGATTCCAAATGCTTAGGCACTTCTTATGATGTACCGGAAAATCTCTGACCACGGTGGCAAGGAAGCATCATTTAAATGTAAAGTCTGCTTTTGGAAATATGTGTCAAAGTGGCTGGCCAGATGATCTAGAAGATTTTTATTTATTTAAAAAGCACTGCCTTTAAATAAAAACACAAAACTTACAAATTCTTGTAGATAATTAAAGATATCCCTCAGATCCCAGTTTAAGAATTACCTCATTAAGGCACTATTAGCAAAAGCAAAACTTTTGAAGCTTACATATCTAAAACAAAATTAAAAGATAAATGTTTGGTTGAAAATTAAGATACAAAGAACTTTTATTTCCTAATATTCCAATAATCATTTTGTAATACTAGCCTTCTTTAAGAGGCCCAATATTCATTTTTAGTAAGTGATATCTCAATAAAGAAGTTTTAATGTTTTGTTCTAAATTTGTTTTCATCTGACAAGACTGCTCACATTGGAAAATCTTCATCTTGCCATTCTTCCTTAAGTTCCACACCTTCCATCCTCAGCTTGGCCTCAATGTCAACTATAAGCTCCTGATAATCCAGAGAGCCAATGTCCTATGAAGGAGAGAGAAATAAGTGTCATTAGTAACTGATTTTTCACTTTCAATTTTTTTCTGATGAAAAGGTGAACACCTCCACCCTATCAACTATTGAACTTTACTTTTACCACAGTGGTCTGGTCATGAAACCGATTTATTGGGTTGCAAACACCATTTCCCCCTACCTTTTAAAAATTAATAAACAAAGCAGTACTTACTGTTTGTAGTACCACAGTTCAGTGACAGTGCATGTTTTCAGTTACATATTGCATGAGTGTCTTAGGTTATAATTTAAATTAGTCTTCTGTCCTTTGGATACAGATGTTGTTGTTGTTGTTATGTGCCATCGAGTCGGTTCCGACCCATAGCGACCCTGTATAGGGTTTCCGAGGGTGTAAATCTTTACGGGAGTAGAAAGCCTCATCTTTCTCCCGCGGAACAGCTGGTAGTTTCGAACGCTGACCTTAAGGTTCGCAGCCCGATTCGTAACCACTACGCTACCAGAGCTCCTTTGGATACAGATAGAGTGTAGAAATTGAAAACAGTAAACAGAGCTAACAAAGGTTGGTGGTTTGAAGCTATCAGCTGCACAGAAGACAAGACCTGGTGATCTGTTTCAACCCACAACAACACTACAAGCTGGAGTAGAATTGCCTATAGGGTTTCCAAGATTGCATCATTAAAGAAGCAGACTGCCACTTCTCTCAAGGTTCCAGCTTTTGACCTTTTGATTAGCAGTCCAGTCCTGTGCTTACCCAGTGCACCACCAGACTCCTCCCATACAGATTATAGCTTCAGAAACACTATGTAACAGTTATTACAGAGGATTTCCGTGAGTTGGTACTGAATCATCGACACAATTTATACTTTCCTAACTGTACCAGAGGCAAAGTCAGTTTGAACCACAAGGTCAGTGGTTCAAGTTCACCAGCTGCTCCTCTGAAACCCTATACAGGGTTACTACGTGTCAGAACCGACTCAAGAACACTTAACAACAACAACAACTCAGCTTAGCCAAGCATATTTCGATGATTTGTATTTCCCTTTCTATAGCGCTTCAAGGAGTCCTGGTGGCACTGTAGGTTAGGAGTTAGACTGCTAACTCCAAGGTCAGCAGTTCAAACTCACCAGCTGCTCTGAATAAGAAAGATGAGGCTGTCTGCTTGCAACTACAAAGGGTCGCTATGAGTGGAATCAATTCAGTGGCAGTGGACAGATCTCTATAGCTTCAATGTCACAATTCCCAAGTCAGTTAAAGAAGTCTGTCTATTTATATATTTTTACTCATACTGTATGAAATAAGCTTTCAGAGACTGATGAATGTCTCTGTTTATCCGACTAAGTTAGGTCATGAATTGTATTTTTTTCGTTTTTCCAAGGAAGGGTTGTTGTTAAGCACTGTCAAGTTGTTTCCCTGGTATGGGGTTTCCAAGGAGTGGTTGGTGAGCTTGACTGTTGATCTGGTGGTTCAAACTGACCTTGCAGTCCAGCGCATTAACCTGCAGCCTCACACGGTGCCAATGTGCTCATTTTATAAAGTGAGGAGTCTAAGTGCCATCGAGTTGGTTCTGACTCATAGCGATCCTCTGTATGATTTCCAAGGAGCCGCTAGTGGCTTTGAACCACCGACCTTGTGGTTCAAACCAGTCTTTCAGTCTTTATCCCACAGTGCCACATCAGGACTCCAGGAATGACTAGAGGGGACTAGATACAGTAGATGAGTATTCAGTTTACTTATAAGTAAGTGAATAGATATCCAAAATTATTAAGGAAACAGCAGTACAAAGCATACTTCTTAAGAAATATAAATGATCACTAGGAGTACCAAAACAAAATTAAAAGTGGTTGACATGAATGGAAGAGAAAAGAAGGTACAATTAAGACAATGACTTGTGCTTTTCCTTATAAATTCTTCTACGATTTGATTTAAAAACCATGTACGCATATATGATTTGTAAAAACACTTATCAAACAAATGTTTTAATTTGGTGCCAGTCCTTCAGTGTACACTCTTCACACTCAGGTCAACTAGTCCTCTGAAAAAAGATCTGGTCATGGTTTATGGCTGCCTTATCTACTATGTCATGACAACACTCAACAGATACAAAGTTACAAAGAAAAAGCAGTGTTTTCCAGAACAACAAATCGAACCATGGGGCCAAGTTCAGCTCCAGACCTGAGGGTAACTAAAGTGATTCCACCAGTCTCTACCAAACCAGTAAACCTGTTTTCGTTTTTTATGATTTTTATCCACTTTTTCCTCCTACTCCTAATGCAATCCCTTTCACAGCAGACGGTAGTGGTTGTTAGGTGTTGCCGTTGAGTCAGTTCCGACCCATAGCAACGTTGTACAGGGTTTTCGAGGCTGTAAACCTTTGGCCTGTGGAACTTCTGTCAGGCTTGAATTATCAACCTTGTGGTTCGCAGGCCAGTGTTCATCCTACAGAGTCACCACACTCCTCTTGGTAGTGGTGGTGATTTTGTTGTTAGTGACATCCAGTAGGCTCCAACTCACAGTGACCCTGCATGGAGTTTCCATGGAGCGACTGGTGGTTTGTACTGCCAACCTTACTGCTAGTAGTCCAGTGCTTATCCTAAAGCACCACATTCCACTTATTTATATTAACAAATAAAGCATATCTAATTCTCTGGGAGGAGTCCCGGTGTGGTGCTGTGGGTTAATGCGCCACACTGCAAAGCCATTTGAACTGCCAGGCCGGCGGTTCAAGCTCACCAGGAGCTCCTCGGAAACCCTATACAGGGTTGCTATGGGTTGGAACCAACTCAATGGCACTTAACAACAACAACAATTCTCTGGGGAAACACCAAACTAGGCAATCTTGAGAAATTAATGAGGAAAAAACCCCCGCTTCAGATATAATGCTGCTGCTGCTGCTGTTATTAGGGGCTATCGAGTCAGTTCGGACTATAGTAACCTTTTGTAAAACAGAACAAAACACTGCCCAATCCTGTGCCATCCTCAATTGCTCCTATGTTTGAGTCCACTTATTTAGCAGTTCTTCTGTTTCTAATACATGTTGTTCTTGTTAAGTGCCGTCAAGTCGGTTCTGACCCATAGCGACCCTGTGTAGAGTTTCTGAACAGCAACTGGTGAGCTTGAACCACCGACCTTGCATTTTAAACTAACCTGGCAGTCAGTCCAGCATATTATCGTGTAGCGCCACACCAACACTTTGAACACACATCATACAATGGCTTCTGACAGTAAACCTCTTTCTCTGAGTAAAAGGAAAAGTAAACTAAAAGTGACAGCCTCATCTATTTAGACACAGAATCAGTAGAAAGGACTCCACAATTAAAACCAGGAAGACCAACACTTACTGCTCAGAAAGGTGGGCTTCAAAAAAATTCACAGACAGAATGGAAAGATAATAGAATTTTTCCAAGACCTTTTTGAAGACCCTATGTACTTAGGACACCAGAATTATGCTCAAGTGAGACCAAAGCATTCCATCATCAAAGATTGGAAACTGACAATCTCTTCCAAACTTTTAATCACGACAACTCTCAATGTTTTTTTTTTTAAAGTCTTTACTATAACACGAACAAATATTCTTGTTAAGTACCATGGAATTGGTTCTGACTCTTACTAACCCTTTATAGGGTTTCCAAGGCTTAGGAGGAGCCTTATCTTTCTTCTGCAGAGCAGTTGGTAGGCTAGAACTGCCAACCTTGTAATTTTCAGTCTAATGCTTATATCCGAGCCATACCTAAATTCAGCAATCAGAAAAGTTTCTCATTTTCTTGTCTCACTTTTTATTAGGTATTAGAATATTATAAGGACAATCTGGAGGCCTTTCTCAAATTTTGTACCGAATTAGAAAAATAACAGTTCCAAAAATAAAAGTAGCAAAAGATATGACAGTAGATTCCCAACACCTAGTGCCTGGAACATAGTAGATCTATAAATATTAAATGAATATTTAATTATAAAGTATGATACAATGCTCATTTTCATATATGTTCATTTTGTTTATAAAGCTTTATAAGTAAATTTTACTTCATGTTTTATGCCTTAAAAATGTAATAAAATAGTCTGCAGCAACCAACATATATGTAACAAATTTGTTGGTAAATTGTTATCTGTAACAGAAAAGATTTTTCTTCTTCTTGTAAAATTCTAGAAGACAAACCATGCCTTGTACCTGCTTTACCACTTGGCCAGTTTTGAAAATAGCTTCTCTACAAAGCCCTAGTGTGGTGCTGCAGGACCACAAGGTCAGCAGTTCAAACCCACCAGCCGTTCCTTGGAAACACAAGACAGGGTCCTATGAGTCGGAAAACGGTACTTAACAACATATACAGGGTCCTGGTCTGGTGCTGTAGGATAAGTACTGGACAGCTAACCTAAAGTAAGTTCAGGCTCACCGGGTGCTCCTCAGGAACATTATAGAGTCACTATGAATGGGAACTGTCAGGCACTTACCAACCCTAACCTAAGTTCTTCAGTCCTCTTAGTCCATGTAGTCACTGTTGACTCTAGTATCATACTGAACAATGTCATGTTAATACAGCATAGCATTCTCATGGCCATTCAGTTGACTCCAACTCATAGTGACCCCACATAGGGTTTCCAAGACTGTAAATCTATACTGGAATAGACAGTCTCATCTTTCTCTTTGGAGCAGTTGATGGCTTTGAACTGACAACCTTGTAGTTAACAGTCTAGTGCATATTCTATAGTGCCACCAGAGCTCCATATAGTACAATACTAAAGGGACTTCAAAAAGTTCATAGTAAGATTCCATCATTTTTTAATTCTTTCTTTCCATGAACTTTTTGACGCCACCTTGTATATAAGCATGGATATTTGGTTTAAGAATAATTAAGCTAATTAAATAAACCATTGCATGTTGACTATGACGGGGAAACAGTACAGTAGGTAGATAAAACCTTGACACAACTGACAGTTCTGTTCTTGGAAACACATTCTCATCAGCAGATGCAAGAACAGGAAGCCAACAAGAAAAGGAAATTAGGATACTGCTGACTCATAAGTTAACTGTTTGCCATTTTTTGTTCATAGATGTTTCTGCAAATTAGCACGGGGAAATATACTTGAAGGTGCTTTGCTAAAATAGCCCAACACAACAGGAATGACCTGCTATATCTCCACAGACTGGTGATAGCGGTAGAACATTCTTACTTATGCCAGGCATCTGTGAAGGGCTTAGGAAGAAGTCACTGACCTCAAAGAACAATCGGTTTCTGCACAACACAGATTCAGAGAGGAAGTGCAGTGGTAGATGTAGCCAACATGAAGAAGTGGGTTTCTCCATGCTGCTTAGCAGCATAGGCAAACATTAACTATTGAGAGCATCCCTAGAACTGCTTTAACCACAGCCTAATTTTGCCAGGCAAATTTTACTATTACGTAATGTAACAAAGGTATTGAAGTCAGTCAAAAATGTGGCACCTATCATCCCTCCCAAAGCACTCTACTTAGCTAGGTTCAAGAATTCATCGCAATGGCCACATAAAACTTAAGACAATGCACTCACAATCATGGGATTTACTAGGCAACTGAAGGAGCTCTGATACTGTAGTAGTTATGAGTTGGGCTGTCAACCCCAATGTCAGCAGTTTGAAACTACCAGCTGTTCTGCTCCTATAGGCTGATAGCCTAGGAACCTATACAGGGTGGCTATGAGTTGGAACCGACTCCGGGGCACATAACTACCACCACCACCACCACTAGGCAAGTTAAGATGTTACAATCCAGGATTAGAAATGTTCAGGGCATAGTTATTATAATCAGGCAGGCATCTCTCTGGCCTCAGCCCCTTGGCCTGACCTTGGCCCATTCAGGCCAATATTACAAAGCTCTTATAAGGTTGCTGATAAATGTCCTCAAGGCACACCACAGCACCCTAAATCTCAGCCTGAAGGTGCTAGGCTCTACCTCCCTGGGTCAGCCAACCTAGCTCTTTCAATTAAGTGCCAGGAGACACCCTACTTCTGCAAGCAAGCCTCCTGCCCAAAGTCACTCCGCTTGACTTGTTCCATGGGCTGGGAGGCCCAATGCTCTGGCTAGTTCTGTGTTCTGCTGCTGCTGCTCCTCTGCCCCTTCCCTGGTGTCACAGCTTTCTGTCCCTGGGTTGAGGAATTAAACGCACAGAAATCTCAGGGTCCAAATGACACACACCACTCCTGGCTCTTCTCTGATATCAGTGAAATTCCCCCCCCATTGCTTCGGAGATGGTTCATTTTATACCCATGTAAGAATTTCAAGTTTTCACAATAAACCCTGTTAACAATCACTCATACTTGAATTATACAATCCATCAGCATCTTCCCTTACCCAGACCCATCAGGAAAAAATCATTTGAGAGTTTACAAAGACTACGGTTAGGAGAGACAGTAAATCACGTACTGCACTGCAGCTATGGCCACCAGCACCACCTATAGGAAAAATAATTACAGCTGGCAGAAGGAAATGTCCCGGCAAGTCTCTTACCTCCCCATTTAAACTCTAAAAGTATGTTCACTTTTTTTCCAGTGAGGCTGGCAACACTGAAAAATACTTTAGACCACCCTAAAAATTATGAAGGAGTCCTGGTATGGTGGTGTACAGCAAATGCAGTTTGAACCACAAGATTGGCGGTTCAAACTTACCAGCTGCTCCTTGGAAACCCTATAGTCGCTAAGGGTCAGAACTGACTAGATGGCACTTAACAACAACAACATGGAGACTGCCAAAATATTCCCTGAAAACACTTTATGTTTGTAATTTTCCCCTGAGTACAGGGTCACATAGGCTTTTAAGAATAAAATGAGATGCTTTATCAGAAATGTTAAAATCATAGTCAAAGGGAAACTCGCATAGTACTGGTTTCTCAAAATTGTGAAAATTATCAGCATAATTTAATATTATCCTGGAGATGCCCTGAGATCTTTAAAAAAGATTAAAGTCTAATTAGTTGATCTCTACCACCTGTTGTAAAGTTGTAACTATTGGTTGTAACATAAAATGAAAAAATGAAAAGCTTGGAACATTGTTGTTGCTGTTGTTAAGTACTGTGGAGTGGGTTCCAACGCATATGACCCTGTACAGGGTTTCCGAGGCTGCAAATTTTTATGGGAACAGAAAGCCTCATCTTTCTCCCCCGGAACAGCTGGTAGTTTCAAAGTGCCGACCTTGAGGTTAGCAGCCCGATTCGTAACCACTACTCTCCCAGAGCTCCTTTTGGCATGTTATGACAGTACTGTGCTTTATAGGATTTAAGCTTACCATGTCATCTTACTATTGTCAGCCACAGTTACCTGTTTGGGTCTGACCACACTACCTTTGTGAGTTGTATTCCCTCCTCACTGCTCCTTCTACTCCAGTATTACTTCAGAATGACTGAATTAAACCACTTTCCCAAAGGCTGCTTTTTACATTATATTAATCACTGTCCTGATGTGGTGCTGCAGGATAAGCACTAGACTGCTAACTACAAGGTTAGTGGTTCTAACCCACCAGCTGCTCCTCAGAAACCCTATACAGGGTTGCTATCAGTTGGAACCAACTTGACAGCACTTAACAATAACAACAATTACTGTCCTGGTGTGGCACTGTAGGATAAGAAATGGACTGGTAACTGAAAGGTTGGAAATTCAAACCCACCAGCCCCTCTTTAGAAACCCTAGAGAGAGGGGCGCTATGAGTCAGAACCATTTGAAGGCAGATAACAACAATCACTACAACACTAATCATCTCCAAGGCTTCAACCAACAATTCTGTGAGGTTAAAAAAAAACAAAACAGCTGTTATCAATGCCATTTTACCTTACACTGCATTTGAAACCAAAAAGAGTCAAGGTTTAATATCCAAATACCCAAACTTTAAGGAGCTCTGGTAGCGTCGTGGTTATTAATCGGGCTGTTAACCGCAAGGTCAGCAGTTCAAAACCACCAGCTGTTCCGCGGGAGAAAGATGAGGCTTACTGCTCCCGTAAAGATTTACAGCCTCGGAAACCCTGTACAGGGTCGCTATGGGTCGGAACCGACTCCACAGCACACAGCCACCGTATGGGAGGCAGTGAGACTACCTAGGTAGATGAACAGGGAAAGCCTAAGTCTACAGTGTTTCTGGAACAAGCAGAAAATAGAACAGGTTCAAAAAACATAATATAGATATAATTTCTGATTTAAAACGAATCGATCTGGGACACTTCCAGTGGCATCAGAGGCACCCAAGAGAATCAAATCATTTTTGCCAGGTATTTATAGGCAAATTCACGCAGGGACTCAGCTGTTCACGCTGTTGTTGCTAAGTGCTGTGGAGTCAATTTCGACGCACTGCGACCCTCTACAGGATTTCCGAGGAGCTGCTGTTGGATTTGAACTGGCCACCTGTGGTTCGCAGCCCAGTGTCTGTCTTACAGCGCCACACCAGGCGTCCACGTACACACTCTACATTTGGTTTGCCTTGCTCAGGAAGGTTTAATAAAGTGCTGATTACAAATGCCGCTTCCGTGTCAATTCCCCGAGGGTACGAGGCACACCAGAAATCCAAGCTTCTTTGTTCTGCACCAAGACCAAAGCTGGTTAAAACGTGTACCATGGAGTCCTAGTCACCGCACCCAAATCAGTTGGTGGGAGGTGTGGTCCGTGTTGGGAGAAGGCTTCAGGCCGAACACCACAACCTCAACCAACGGAAAAGGGGTGGCGGGCAAGGCTGGCCAACGCAAACAGGAGTTGAGCCAAGGGCGGGATCTAAGCGAGGCGGGGACAGGGCAGGTTCTACGGCGCCCCCAACGACAGATAATCCCCGCGGCTCCCTCTCCCCTTGCTGCTAGTGGACAGGCGCCCCACACATCCTGCACTATAGGTTTGTTCCTAGCCTAGGCCCACCGAGCCGAGACTTCCCTTCCTCCCACTCACCCCGGAGGAAGCCTCGGCCCCCTCGTTCTCTTCGCCTCTCCAGACCGGCGACGTAGGGCTGACGGCCAGGTCGCAAAAGGCGGCGCCGAGCGGAGCCCGCTCCCCTCGATGGGCGACGGAGACAAGCGCCCAGTTTCCCGGCCGCAATTGCAGCAGCGGCGGCGGCGACGACGGCTGCGGCGGTGAAAGCGGCAGTCCTGACCCGGAAGTAGAGATTGGCGACAGCGGAAGTGACAACATCCAGGCCTTTTCCAGGCGCAGCAGTCCGCAGAGAGGAAGACGAAGGCGTGGCGTCTTCCTGAAGCCCACAAACCCGCCCTCTCTTCAGTGTTGCGGGGTAACGGCCGCTCTTGCACATGCGCGACGGTCCAATATTTTCCGCGGTGGTGGGCTGGCAATCACAGCGGCGGCGCCTTAAAGGCTGGTGGAGTTTCCTCTTTGCTGGGGTGCGGCACTTACAGGCTCAGAGCCATTATTGTTTCCTTTTTGCTTATCTTTATTGATACTTACAGTGACTTTGACCCTGGTAGTATTTAAAATACCCATGGTATAGCTTCCAGAATCCCAGCAAGTCACAAGCCACTACAGTACGAAAAACTGACAGCCGAGTGGTGGTTATCTTACAGTGTTTCTCCGCTCTTCATAAGGTTTTCAGTGACTAAATATACGACAGTACTTAGTTTCTCTTTCCTAGTGTCCCTTGGTCTGGAGGCTCATCTGAAACCTGTCCACCCTGTTTGTGCCCATTCCAAAGAGAGGTGACCCAATGGAATGCGGAAATCATCGGACAATATCTTTGATATCCCTTGCAAATAAAGTTTTACTAAAGGTAATACAGAAAGGGCTGCAAGCATACAGAGAACTTCGAGAGGTTCAAGCAGGATTCAGAAGAGGTCATGAAACAAGGGCCATCATTGCTGATGGATCTTGGATGAAAGCAGAGAATACCAGACAGATGTTTACCTGTGCTATATTGACTACGCAAAGGCTTTCGATTGTGTGGATCATGACAAGCCATGAACAACTTTGCGAAGTATGAGTGTTCCGGAACACTTAATTGTGCTCATGAGGAACCTGTACATGGACCAAGAGGCAGTTGTTCGAACAGAACTTGGGAACACTCAACGGTTTAAGATTAAGAAAGGTGTGCAATAGGGTTGTATTCTTTCACTGTACTTATTCAACCTGTATGCTGAACAAATAATCCAAGAAGCTGGATTATGCTTTTGGGCTTCTGTCTGCTGGGCGGCGGGAAGTGCCTTCCCACAGGATACCAATGCAAGCCTGAATAAGAAAAACAATTTCTTGCACCTAAGCCATGGCATATCAGTTATACAGAAATACCACTTTGGGAAACAGTCTTCAGGAGAGCCTAGATGAGCTCATACAGGTGGGAGACTAATAAATGTTTTTATTTAGATGGGTGGATAGTTACTCCAGGAATCCTGGTGTGGCGCTGTGGGTTAATGTGCCAGACTGCAAAGCCGTTTGAATTGCAAGGTCGGCAGTTCAAGCTCGCCAGCTGCTTCTTGGAAACCCTATTTTAGTTTTTTTTTTACCATTTAGAAAATGTTCCCCTCAATTTACTGAATGTCTTTATCTAGTGCAGCACTGTGGGGTCAACAATGGACTGCGAACCACAAGATCAGCAGTTCAAACCCATCACCTGCTCCTTGGAAACCCTATACAGGGTTGCTGTGAGTCGGAACCAACTCAACAGCACTTAACAATATCTAGACATTGTGAAGGAAAGACATTTATTCTGGCTTGGTAATATCATTACATGTTTTCTTTTCAAAATTATTTTTAATGTCAAGATACTGCAAAAAAAATTTTCAGGCTTTGCTTCCTAAAACTGTTAGTTATGGCAAAGGAGAATAAAGAATTCTAGTTTAGAGGCCCTGGTTAATCTCAGTTAAAATTTCGATGGTAATTCATGTATATTTTAAGTCTTTAATGTTCTTCTATAAGATAGTTTATGACCTTTACTTTTTCTCAGTCTCAACAGATCACTCCCCAACTTGCCCTTCAAGTTCTCCTTCAGCCTGATAAGGCTATAAATTCAGCATTGGCTCAGAGGGTCAGGAACAGAGTCAATTTCAGGGGCTCTCTAAATACATACACATTCTGCCATAATATATTGTGTGGACTTTTGAATGATGTAGAATTCAGAAAGGTGACAGAGCTTATTAAAGTGGATAAAGTGAAAATTGTAGCCTGTGATGGTAAAAATACTGGTGAAAATACTACTGAATGAAAGGGGAAAAATGGCTTTCTCATACCATCTTCTGTTGTTATTCATCACTTTTTGAAGAGAAGTATAGAAGAGACTTTTTAAATTTATTCTAACAATGCAGAGATGACTGCACTGTGCTATACTATCGAAGAATTCCAGTAGAAAGACGCTTGTAACTCTGTAGCCCCGTACATTATCCTTTATTATACAGCATGGAGAAACTTAAAAAAAATATATCAAATGTTGCCTTCCTACAAACATTCTTTATTAACACATTTTAAAACATAAAAAAAAAAAAAAAAAAAAGGGGAGCTGGATTATATGAAGAAAAACGTGGCATCAGGATTGGAGGGAGGCTCATTAACAACCTACGATATGCAGATAATACAACCTTGCTTGCTGAAAGTGAAGACTTAAAATACTTACTGATGAAGATCAAAGAGCCCAGCCTTCAGTGTGGATTGTATATCAATGTAAAGAAAACAAAAATCCTCACCACTGGACCAATAAATAACATTCTTATCAATGGAGAAAAGATCGAAGTTATCAAGGACTTAATCTCCTTGGATCAACTATCAACACTCACGGAAGCAGCAGTCAAGAAAGCAAACAACGTATTGCATTAGGCAAATCTGCTGCACAAGACCTTTTGAAAGTGTTGAAGAGCAAAGATGTCAGCTTGAGGACTCAGGTGCGCCTGACCCAAGCCATGGTTTTTTTCAATAACCTCGTATGCATGCAAAAGCTGGACAGTGAATAAGGAAGACCGGAGGATCATAGAAGAACTGATGCTTTTAAGTTATGGTGTTGGAGGAGAATATTGAAAGTGCCATGGGCTGCCAAAAGAACCAACAGATCTGTGTTGGAAGAAGTGCAGCCAGAGTGCTCCTTGGAGGCCAGGATGGCCAAACTTCATCTCTCATACTTTGGATATATTGTCAGGAGCGGCCAGTTGCTGGAGAAGAATATCATGGTTGGTAAGGTTGAGGGTCAGAGACAAAGAGCTAGACCCCAGTGAGATGGATTGGCAAAATGGCAGCATCAATAGATTCAAGCATGGCAACAATTGTGAGGTTGGCCCAGGATTGGGCAGTGTTTCATTCTGTTGTGTAGAGGGTCTCTATGTGTTGGTACCAGTTTGATGGCATCTAATAACAACACAGTGAGTATGTATTATTCTCTTGGAGTCCTGGTGTGGCGCTGTGGTTTAATGCACTGGACTGCAAAGTCGGTTTGAACTCGAAGGTTGGAAGTTCAAGCTCACCAGCTGCTCCTCGGACACCCTTTACAAGGTCACTATGAATCATAACGGACTCAAAGGCACTTAACAACAACAATGTATTATAAAATGAATAAAAAAAGGAAAGGAAAATGTCTAAAGCCTCATTTATGGAGGTTGTCATCTGAAGAATCCTTAAATTGTTGAAGCTTGTACAGTGTGCTTCTTAATCAGTTGGCAACTACCAAAAATAAATTTAATTTCCAATTTTTGATGAACCGTATCTTTGTAAAATAAAAAGAAACAAATTATGAGCAAAATAAAACAAAAAAGGCGAGCAAAGCATAAATCAAAAGGTTTCATTGTTAGAGTCAACAGCAGTAAAATTGTCATAGGGGTTTTTAAAACTTACTCTCAAATTTCTTGTGTCACACAGTCTTCTGAAGAATATAGGTCCGTGGACCACACTTGAGCAGCAAATCTGCTTTAGAACTTTAAGAAAAGTTAATTTGGAAAAGTCTGCAATATAGTAATCCTTTTGAATCTCTCATTTCCCTAAGTCATTTAAAGGGCCTAGCATATAAGCATATGTGTAAGTCATCAGGAAATGAAGCATGAGGGGAAGGGAACAGTTCAAAAAATAGTTAGCATTGGTAATAAACAATGGCACCCTCGTTGATAAGTGCTGTCCAGTCAGCTCGGACTCGCAGTCTCAGATAACGTTTCTGAGGAGCGGCTGGTGAGCTAAAACTGCTAATCTAGAGGTTCGAACTGACCTTGAGGGCCAATGCTTATCCTACAGAGCCACACCAGGACCCCTTTGTTGTTAAGTGCTACTGAGTTGATTCAAACTCATAAAGACCTTGTATAGGGTTTCCGAGGGGAGGGGTTGCTGTTGAGTTTGAACTGCCAACCTTGTGGTTCAAACCGACCTTGAGGTCGACAGTTTATCTTATAGCGCCACATCAGGACTTCAGGACCCGCTTGGCACCGAGCCGGTTCTGACTTACAGCAAACCCTGTATAGGGTTTTCGAGGCTGTAAATCTTTATGGGAGTAGAAAGCCTCGTCTTTCTTGTCAGAGCGGCTAGTAGTTTTGCTTTAACAAATCTCACAAAAACTCTATGAGGTATTATTTCTCCCATTTTATAGATGAGGCAGAGGATTTAATCACCTAAATAAAGTAATACCTCTACTCCCATAAAGGAGTTCTGGTGTGGTGCTGAGAGTTAGTCCGCCAGACTGCAAAGCAGTTTGAACTGCAAGGTCAGTGGTTCAAGCTGCTCCTTGGAAACCCTATACAGGATAGTTCTGGGTCGGAACCGACTTGGTGGCACTTAGCAACAACTCCCATAAAGATCTGCAGCCTTGGAAACCCTATACAGGATTCACTAGAAGTTGGAGCTGACTCAGTGGTACACAACCACCACCACAAAAGAAAGTCATGCACACAGATACATGGTACTTACCGTATTATAATCTCATGTGGTCTGTAGTATTATTTTCTTCCTGTTTTAGGAATTTTGTTAAGTACCTGACAGTGAAAACGAATTAACACAATTTGAGCTAAACAACTTCTTGGGCCATGCTCCTGCTAACGATTTCATCTTTAGTCATAATTTTCCGTTACAAATTTTGCTTATTTTAGTGCTGCAATGAGTAGTATTCCCCACAGGGTGGCAGACAATCATTTAACATTATAAACCTGTAGGGGCTTTTGTGGTTTAGCGGTTTATAATGTCAAATGATTTTCTGCCACCCTGTGGGGGATAACAACAACTACATGTGATTTTGTGATCTGATATTTTTTTCTTTCTCATTTTCGTAACTTTTGTTATTTGGTCAGTTAACACAAATGCTTGATCAGTGTTTTCTTTGGTTTCAGGTAAGCTATTCTACTGCTTGTATTTTGATCCTCATCTCACAAATAATCCACATTTATTGGTGAAACTTCTTTAAAAAATGCAAATGAGCCCAAAATATAGCTCTATTAATGTGTTTGTGTGAGAAAGCGTTCTGCTTCCATAAAGATTTACAGTCTTGGAAACCCTATATAGGGTCATGTTAGTCTGTCAGATATATAGTATGCATATTACTATAAATTTCATATATGTGAATGTATATGGTGGTAGAGTTGGTTCCAGTTTATAGCAACCCTGTATAGTTTCCGAGGCTGCAAATCTTTACGGGAGCAGAAAGCCTCATCTTTCTCCTGTGGAACAACTGGTAGTTTCGAACTGCTGACTTTGAGGTTAGCAGCCGGACTTATAACCACTACGCTACCAGAGCTATTGTGAATGTATATACTTATTATTAAAATGAGATAATGTACCTAGTCATTTATAATCTAATTTTTTCATTAAAAAGATATATCATGAATCCTTTTCAGATCAACCAATACTATCAAATGCCTTATTTGATCAACAAATACCATATTTCAATACGATAATTTTAATCATTATTTATTAACAATATCTTACTGAGGATCATCTAGTGGTCCCTGAGTGTCACAAACCATTAAGCAGTTTAAATCCACACAGAGGCACCTCAGAAGAAAGACCTGGTGGTCCCCTACTGAAAGATCATAGTGATGACATATTCTGAATTTTTACCTTTAAAGTTGTCATCTCTGTTATCTAACTCACTGAATTATTCAAGCATTTGTCAACCCTTTATTGTGTCAGATCATTACGGAACAACAGTTTGAGTCAATACTGTTGAGTCCTAACAGTACAGGTAAAAAAAGAGTGTCTGCCTTCAGGGAACCTATTGAAACTCATTGTCACAGGGTCCATTCTGACTCCTAGTGATCCTATGACGTCCTGGTGTGGTGTTGTAGGAAAATCACTGGGCTTTGCAGGGTCGATTTGAACTGCAAGGTCTGTGGTTCAAACCCACCAGCCACTCCTGGAAACCCTAAACAGGGTCACTAGGAGTCAGAATTGACTCGACTGCATTAACAAGAAATGATCCTCTAGGATAAAATAGAACTGGCCCATAGGGTTTCCAAGGCTGTAATCTTTATGGTGGAGTCTTGGTGTGGCCCTGCGGGTTAATGCGCTGCACTGCAGGGGCGATTTGAATCACAAGGTAGGCGGCTCAAGCTCACCAGCCGCTCCTCAGAAGCCCTGTTGTTGTTGTTGTTAAGTGCCGTGGAGTCGGTTCCGACCCATAGCGACCCTGTACAGGGTTTCCGAGGCTGTAAATCTTTAACAGGGTCGTTATTAGTCGGAACCAACTCAACAGCCTTAACAACAGCAGCAATATTCCTGGAAGCAGACTGCCACATCGTTTCCCCACAGGGCAGCTGCTTGGTTAGAACTGCTAACATTTCGATTTCAGTTAAGCGCTTAACCACTGTGCTACCATGGCTTCTCAAGGAGCTATTGCTGTGCGTCGAATTGGTTCCAACTCATACCAACCCTGTTTCCAATCGTAGCTGGTGTGTTTGAACTGCAGACTGTGAGGTTATCAATCCAGAGCTATCCTACAGTGCTATACCAGGGTCTATCGTCATGTGCCGTGGAGTCGGTTCCAGCTCACAGAGACCCTATACAGGGTTTCTGAGGCTGTAAATCTTTATAGGACCCTCATCTTTCTCCTGCGGAACAGCTGGTAGTTTCGAACTACCCGATTCATAACCAC